ACACTAATATTGATGCCCAGCCAACGACGAAAAATCCTTGGACCTTCATCACCTCAATTAGCAAGAGTGATTCCGTCGGTTCAAAAAGCCTGTCAAGCTATGCGCAACCTGAGCCTCATGCTGTTGATGAGGAAAGTAAAACCCTAAATGCCGCCTGGGTGGACAATGGACGCAAGGTTCGCTCGAAAAACTTTGGTTCCTCAGGCATCAAATCCTCAGCAATAACTCCGAATTCGCAATTTTCAAGGCAAAAGTATATATGGAAAAATACAGTGTCTCAAGGAAATCGCGGTCTGGTTGGAGTAAACATGGAGGAGGAAGGCCAGGAGAGCCAGCCAGGATTCTCTGAGGGCATCATAATAGAGGATGAGTCATTTGACTCGACGATAAACAGTATTGAGGATTATGAGTTTATTCGCATCGTGAGCACGCAACCAGAAGACCTGGAGGCACAGCTGCAATTGCTTCGTAGCCTAGAGCACTTGTGGACAACGAAGGCAGAATCAGTTAAAAGTATTGAACATACCAAGGTAGCAATCAACTGGTCCTCCGATGCAAAAGGTAATATTATGCTCAAAGAAATTTTTATTCTGCCTGTTAATAATGTTTAAAATATAGCAAATTGAAACCACCTATGCTCATGTTCGTGTGTATGTCGAATGTAGCAGATTAAAATTTAAATTTCAGCAAGGGACGCCAGGCTCAACTTGACGCTAATCTTTGATAAAGCCTCTTTTCGGTCATTTTTATATATGAAACCTTCTCTTAAAGTAGAAACCTTGTTTTCTTATGTATAAATAAAGGACAAAATGTTGTGTCCGTTGTTTTGGTCCCTGACCTCGTTTTCGCCACATAGTGGTGTTGCCAAGGCAAAATAGCTGGACGCACCTTGTCCGAAGTCCCTTGTTATAGTAATTGTAAATCACAGGCATTCCACCAGTGCGTCCTGTCATTCATAGTACCAAGCTATAACTCGTCAAAGATACCAGTTAAACGTCTGGGAATGTACCAAGTTTAAGTAACAGCGCTGGTAACTATCATAACTACTATAGCAGAGGGTTTTCGACAGAGATCCAACTAGGTGCCTTGATAACAAAATCATGCTGCGAAAACTAGGTCAGACCATTTTTTTCTTTTATTCATATTTGATTTCCATTTTAATACTTGCTTGATAAGGGCAAACTACCAATGTCATATTAGGAGCAGTGCATAGGGGCAAATGCCCATTAGCTTTTTACATCTTCGGATATAGGCGAATACGAATCTGGGAAATGAAATAGCAAATAGCCGATACAGTACATTCAGAAGATGGAAGTTAAAAGATTGCATGGAATTAATGCTAGTTATTTAAGTAAGACTATGAACTAAAAATTGACAATAAGTGTATCTTGGATATCATTTATTTTGTTAATATATACTTTCCACTGTTTAGCCTATAAGAACTTGCTAAATTGTGTAAATAGGTCTTATTTAATTTTTCGTTCTAAGTAGGTTCTCGACGGTAGGATTTTTTATATATTACTTAGCAGGCTCTGATTTAAGGAAAAACAAACTTTATCCTAAAGTTTTTATCCCTGTTAATGGATTTCATGCAAGTTTAAGATAAATATTTTGCCACCATTGATCCAAGTTGCCCAGCTGATACATTATGCATTTTCCCTCTTTCCAGAGCCACCTCGAGATGCAAAAAGCAAAATAAGCACCTCAACTCTGACAAAGATTGGCATGGTGAGAAAGTATGCTATAAAACAACGCGAAGTAAATTTAAAATGCAATGATTCATCAACTCCCAATAAAGACATGCGAAAAACCTCTG